GAACAAAATGAGTGGATTGAGATATAACTCCAAGTGTAAAATTATGGTTGAACTGCAACTACAGGTTGGCTATGGATACAAGAGTTCAGCAAATATTAACAAAAGCATTTTTCTTTTAAAGATGGGGTTTCACCATGATGGCCAGGCTGGTCTTGAACTCCTGACCTCAGGTGATCCACCCACCTTGGTCTCCCAAAGTGCTAGGATTACAGGCGTAAGCCACCACGCCTGGCCAACAAAAGCATTTTGTAAGAACCAATTGGCTAAGTGGATTTTTATGATAAACAACACTGTATATTTATTATTTGTAAATTGTAAGCTATTTATAGTCAATTAATGTACACATATATAATACGCACATGCACATATGTACACACATATAATACATATATGCACATATGTGCACATACACACGTTTTCCAGAGCACTGGTGGACCAGAGCACTGAGCACACCACTGGAGTTATGATAGGGAGTAAGACAGCACGGCCCCTGCTCTCACAGAACCATCAGTGCAGCAGCAAAGATGAACAAATAAGCACTCACCCACCACTAAAAGTGACAGATATCAGGACCAGGGAAGGGAACAGGGGACACAGCAGGGGAGCCAGCCCAGCTGGCAGGGCTGGGGAGGATTTTGTGGGGCTCACTCGGGAGGGGACTAGAACAATAACCCCAGATTATGTGCCAGTGACAAAAGACATCTTAGAAGGGGCATCTTTGTCCTGCATCCCTCCATTTTGCTCTAGCTCTGGGTTATGAGGCATAGATTAGTCAATTAGTCATGTTTCATAGGATATGAATTCAAATTGAGGGCAGAGGGTGGAAAAGGAAAAAAGATTGCAAACTCTGACTTTTCTAGACTCGGATTGTCTTTCAGGGCCGCGGTGACATGAATAACTGACCCAGTCTCTGATTGGGGATATCTCTTTTCAACTAAGTACCCCCCGGCTGCCACCAGCACCAAATAAATATTAACAAAACTGAGGAGTGTTTTGAAAGCTCACGGAAATCACATATGAAAACCCAACATCAGCCTGGTTTCAGGCTTTCCATCTCATTCTGGCATTTTGACACGTCATCATCAGCCTAACTTGACAAGAGGTAGCTTCTGTGCTCACCTGAAATCCCACAGTGCTGGGCACCCCTCAAACTGCTCAGAGATAAAATCCCAGTCCTACTCACCCTGGAGGCCACCAGCTGCAGTTGCGGCACGACTGCCGTGTGGACCAGGTTCCCATTCACCACCAGGCGGATCTCCATAGAGTCGGTGGTGAAGGCCAGGAGATATGGGAAAGCACAGACTGCAAGAGAATGGGAGTGTCACCTCCCACTGCTGGCTCGGTAGCTGCGGATGGGCTATGATTGTATCACAGTCACGCTCATGCTCACTTCTCTAGAAACTTCCATCTCTCTCATTCCTCTGGCAGCTTCTCTCCCTCCTTCACATGTGCATGTTGCCCTGATCCTAAGGTAGCCTTGGCTCCCAAGACAGCCTCTCCTCAGTTGCCATACTGTGCCTCCCAGGAGGTATGCACTGTCACCAAGCTCGTTGCTATTTTCCCCTATGGAAATCCCATTGCCTGATCTTCCAGCAAGGCAGCTCACTTACCAAAGCCCTGTGAGGAGTCCCTTTTGTTGTCCAGATGCCAGCCTGGCATTCTCTCTGCAAGCCCAGGCCATCCTGCCTGAGACCCTTCCCTTTGGTTGCTCTTCAAGGCCCAGCCCTGATGTCCCTCAATGCTCCTTGCTCCTCCTCTGTGCTCCTCTTGCTGTGTATCTGAGCAGGGGCTGAATCTTATTCCTTACTGGCCCTCACAGTGTCCCTTGGGTGGGTTTGCTGTTATTAAGGACCAGCCCCTGTGCTTGAAATGACTTGGATGACATACTGGCTTCCCGGTGCTGTTCCTGCCTCGGCTGCCCTGTGGCACGCCTCTTTCTTCCTGGCACTCCGTGTTGTCCCTCCTTTGCACTGGCTCTCTGCACTCTCTCCACTGATGAGCTCCTCTGCTCTCCTGGCTTTCCTTGTGACTCTGTCTACCATATCTGTGCCCCTAGCCATGACTTACAAGCCCCTGCAGCAATGTGGTTCAAAACCTCCCTCCCCTGTCTACCAGATTGAATCTGTCATCAAGCCTGACTGGTTCTCCCAGGATCTTAGGTCGGTCCCTCCTCTCAAAATGCTGTCCTTTGGACCTATTAACACATAGTTTTATTGTGAGGACAAAAGAATGAACTAGAACATTCTTGGTTCTGATCTGAGTCTCAAAAGGCAATGCCCAGTTGTGGATCTTGAATCACAAACACAAAGCATCATGGCTCATGTGCTGACATTTTAGTGGCAGGCAGCTACCTGAGTTTCTATGAAGCATATACTAGTGGCACTTTAAGCACTGTGCTTCTCCCCCAGGTCTGTCAGCATTTTGAGGTTGAGACCTTAGGTCTTGAATTTTAGGAAAAGGAAAGTGAGGCCCAGAAATGAACTGAGGTACTGAATGATAACCAAGTACTGAAAAATGACATTTAATTGCTGTCAAATGCATACGTGCTTAGAGGCACTGAGAAAAACAAAGAGGAACAGTAGAAGACAATAGTCCCAAAAGGGAAACAAAATTTAAAAAAATGAAAAAGAGAAAGAACACTCTGAATACTGATCATACGTACATAATTTATGGCAATTTCGCAGTAAGCCAGTTCTCTGCTTACATAGGATTGAATAGTTCACACGTATCTATGAAGGGGGAAAGCGTTACAATAAAGATTTTTCTTACCAATTGCATAGGGAGCCTGGTTCCAACAGAACTGGAAATCTGACGCAGAGGGTTGAACCAAAAAAGAGCCACCATTAAAGGGGCAAACCTTTTTATAGATGCAACTGTCTGCAATGAAAACAACAGCAACTCATTTTTGTTAGAGATAATACTTAGATGACTGTAATTAATGAAAAACAGGCAACAAGAATAGTATCCTATCTGCTAGTTCTTTATAAATAGCCAGTATGAATACTGCCATGATGCTGGATACTTAAAGTCAAAGGCATTCTTAGCCAGAATAATATTACTACTACAAATAATAACAGCTGACATTTTGGGAGAATTTACTATGTGCCAGGCACTGAGCTTTAAAGCCATTATCCCATTTAATCTGCAGAGCTTCACAAAGTATGTACCATTATTACACTCACTTTACAGATGAGAAAATTGAGGTTAGGAGAGGCGAAGTAGTTTGTCCAAAGTCTCAAGTACTATGTGGGGGAGGCAGGGTTTGAACACAGGTCTGCACGACTGCAGAGCCCGTGTGTTTCATGCCTAAGCCCTACTGTCTCCCACATTTGTCAACACTCAAGAAGGGACACCTGATGGCAGCCCTTGGGTAAAGGATGCCCTCCTGCAAGGCAGATCACACCTTGAGCCTCATTCAGGACAAGGGTGGTAGGAGCCAGATACTCCCCTAAACATTTTATTATTATTCCAGAAGACTTGAAGCCATATGCTTGCATCCCCTTGGTGAACCTGAATCAGTACTAGATTAAGACCAGGTTCATTCGATTACATAGTTCCTGGCCTGCTGCGAGCTCTAAACATAAGTCCATGTGGTTCAGACCCTCTTAGAGTGAGAAAGTCCATGAAGAAACAAAGGCCCCATTTATTACAGAGGTCCATCACATTTTAAAAATTAAAAAAAAATTTTTTGGAGACAGAATCTTGTTCTGTGATGCAGACTGGAGTGCAGTGGCGCGATCATAGCTGACTGCAGCCTCTCCCTCCCAGGTTCAAGTGATCCTCCTACTTTAGCCCCCAGCAAGTAGCTGAGACTACAGGTGCACACCACAATGCCTAGCTAATGTTTTCTTTTTTTTTTTTTAAGTAGAGACAAGTCTCACTATGTTGCCTAGGCTGGTTTCCAACTCCTGAGCTCAAGCAATCCTCTTGCCTCGGCCTCCCAAACCATCATATTTTAGCCATGCATTTTTTTTTCAATGAAAGACAGATTGAATTTTTATTATTTATTATTATTTTTAGACAGAGTCTCAGACTGTCGCCCAGGCTGGAGTGCAGTGGCACAATCTCAGCTTACTGCAACCTCTGCCTCCCAGGTTCAAGTAATTCTCCTGCTTCAGCCTCCCAAGTAGCTGGGATTATAAGTGCCTGCCACCATGCCCCGCTAATTTTTTTGTATTTTTAGTAGAGATGGGGTTTCACTTTGTTGGCCAGGATGGTCTCAAACTCCTGTCCTCATGATCCGCCTGCCTCAGCCTCCCAAAGTGCTGGGATTATAGGCATGAGCCATGACGCCTGGCTATTATTTTATTTTAAAAAATTTTTGAGGGCCGGGCGCGGTGGCTCAAGCCTGTAATCCCAGCACTTTGGGAGGCCGAGGCGGGTGGATCACGAGGTCAAGAGATCGAGACCATCCTGGTCAACATGGTGAAACCCCGTCTCTACTAAAAACTACGAAAAATTAGCTGGGCATGGTGGCACGTGCCTGTAATCCCAGCTACTCAGGAGGCTGAGGCAGGAGAATTGCCTGAACCCAGGAGGTGGAGGTTGCGGTGAGCCGAGATCGCGCCATTGCACTCCAGCCTGGGTAACAAGAGCGAAACTCCGTCTCAAAAAAAAAAAAAAAATTTTTTTTGAGACAGAGTCTTGCTCTGTTACTCAAGCTGGAGTGCAGTGGTGTGATCTTGGCTCACTGAAACCTTCACCTTCCAGGTTCAAGCGATTCTCCTGCCTCAGCCTCCCAAGTAGCTGGAATTACAGGTGCCTGATATCATGCCCAGCTAGTTTTTGCATTTTTAATAGAGACGGAGTTTCTCCAATTGGTCAGGCTGGTCTCGAACTCCTGACCTCAAGTAATCCACCCGCCTCGGCCTTCCAAAGTGCTGGGATTGCAGGTGTGAGCCACTGTGCTCGGCCTGAATTTTTATTAACATCATAAAGAATGAATATTAATAAATACTGAGCAAAAAAAGAAAAGCTAGATATCTGAGTACATACTGCATAACTTCATCTGTTTAAATGTTTAAAACTGTCTACAGAGGGTAGAGGTAAAGATGGCAGTGTTACCTCTAAGAGATAATGACATGTAACACAAATATCTTGGATTCTGCTAATGTATTTTAGTTTACCTGTGTCCCCACCTACATTTTATAATCGTATTTCTAATTTCCAGAAAAAAAAGAAAGAAAACATGATATAATTAGCAACCTGATGAATCTGTAGATATAGTTTTGTTGCAACTGGGTCTTGGCTGCATTAGTATGTGTACTGTGGGAAAAATAACAAAACCAATTTTATTTTTTAATTATTAAAAATAACAGCTTTTCTGCAGGCACTTTCTCACTAAAAAATGTAAAAAGATGAAAAGAAAAAGAAAGCAAAATAACAGCTTTTCTGAGATAATCTTTAGACCACAAAATCCATCCATTTAAAATGTACAAGTCAATGAATTTTCGTATATTTACAGAGTTGTCCAACATCACCACGATCTAATTTTAGAACTCTCATCACCCTAAAAATGAAATCTCACTCCCCATTTCTTCCCCAAGCCCTGGTCAACCACTTCCTTACTGTGGATTCGCCTTTTCCGGACATTTCATATAAATGGCATCATACAATATGTGACCTTTTGTGTCTGGCTTCTTGCACCGAGCAGTGTTTTTGAGGCTCATCCATGTGTCAGTGCATCATTCCTTTTTATGGCCAAATAATATTCCATTGTATGGATAGCCTATATTTTGTTGATCTATTTACCATTTGATGGGCATTTGGTTGTTTCTGTTTTTTGCTATTGTGAATAAAGATGCCAAGAACATTCCTGCACAAGAAATGAATATATGTGGACATATATTCATTTCTCTTGTATAGATTGCTGGGTTATATGTAAGTCACATAATTTTATTTTATTCAGAATGTTATTTACTGTTAAATACTTTGTATCTATAGCTACATCTTTATGAGCTTCATTTTTTTCTGTGTTTTGTTGTAGAATATTTGAGGAACAAAGAACACAAAGAAGAAAATTTTAAAAATCATGCAACCCTATGTCCCAGAGAGAAATACTCATAACTTTTTTTTTTAAGACAGAGTCTTACTCTGTCACCCATGCTGGAATCGTGATTTCAGCTCATTGCAACCTCTGCCTCTCTGGTTCTGCCTCTTGGGTTCAAGCAATTCTTCTGCTTCAGCCTCCTGAGTAGTTGGGACTACAGGTGTGCTCTACCATGCCTGGCTAATTTTTGCAATTTTGGTAGAGACTGGGTTTCACCATTTGGCCAGGTTGGTCTTGAACTCCTGACCTCAAGTGATCTTGACCTTGACCTCCCAAAGCATTGGGATTACAGGTGTGAGCCGACCACACCCGGTTGGTACTGATAGTATTTTGTTATTTCTCCTTCAAGCATTTTTATTATGAAATAAACAAGAGAAATATTATAAAGAAAAACAGAATTGAACTTTAAAATATAATTTGCTTCATTCACTGTATTTTATATTTTCTTCTATGCATTTTTCAAGAACATGAGTTTAACTCACTGTATGGCATTTCAGTATTTGAATGTAAAAAAACATCTTTACCAGTTTCCTCCTGTTTCCATTTAGTTTCCAAAGCTATCTGCTTTATAAATTATATTGTATCAGTCAAGAACTCATTATTCAGTTGGCTGATTATGTCTCGAAATAATTGCCTGTGAGTACACAGGCTGTGTCAATTTAGAATCACATCCTGCCAACTTCTTCCCCAGAAGGCTGTACCATTTAGACTTCTAGCAGTGCAGAGAGACGGTATCTGAATCCATGACTCTGACAGTCTCTGCCAGTCTGAGTGACCAAATCATTGCCATGGTATTTGGATATTAAAATTCTCAGTGAGGCACAGCTTTTCCCATGCTGTTAAAATAATTAGGAGGCCATTAGAATGAGGTGGTCCCAGTGCCCTGAGTTCCTACACAAGCAAACTGAAACCTAACTCAGGGTAAAAGATCATATTCTAGGAGCCAACCAGAAACTGTCAACTAACCTCTTAAGCAGGGACTTTCCACTGGAATGATCCAAGTGAAGTTACTGCTCCACTTTAGCCAATCAAATATTTGCTTTGCTTTGCTTTTGCATTCACCCTATAAAAGCCTCCTTTTGTTCCCCTCATTGTTGCCTGATTAATAAATCACTGTTGTTTGGGCTTAGGGGCTCACGCCTGTAATCCTAGCACTTTGGGAGTCCAAGGCAGGAAGATCACTTGAGGTCAGGAGTTCGAGACCAGCCTGGTCACCATGGTGAAACCCTATCTCTACTAAAAATACAAAAAATTAGCCTGGAGGGTCTATAATCCCAGCTATTTGGGAGACTGAGGTGGGATAATCGCTTGAACCTGGGAGGTGGAGGTTGCAGTGAGCCAAGATCGCACCACTGCACTCCAGCCTGGGCTACAGAGTGAGACTCAGTCTCAAATATATACATATAAATCACCATCTGCTCAAATAAACTCTTAAAAATTTTAAATGCATCAAAATTTATCTTTTAACAATGCTTACTGGGTAACTGCCATTTCTTTTTTTGTGAATTATCTGCTTATATCCTTTCCTCATATTTTAATGAGTGCTCATGCATATCTTTTTGATATGTAAAATCTCTTTTTATATTAATAATGATTTTTTTTTTTGAGATAAGGTCATACTCTGTTGCCTAGGCTGGAGTGCAGTGGCACGATCTCAGCTCATTGCAACCTCTGCCTCCTGGGTTAAAGCAATTCTTGTGCCTTAACCTCCTGAGCAGCTGAGGTTACAAGTGTGTGCCACCATGCCCGGCTAAATTTTTGTATTTTTAGTAGAGAATGGGTTTCACCATGTGGCCAGATTTGTCTTGAACTCGGGACCCCAAATGATCCACCCACTTTGGCCTCTCAAAGTGCTAGGATTACAGGCGTGAGCCACTGTGCCTGGCCTATACTAATGATATTGGCCCTTTTGGAAACATCACAGATCTAGTCCCCAGTTTGCTATTTCTAATTTTATGGTTCTTTTTGGCATAGAAAATTTTAAGTTTTGCGTATAGAAACCTTTCAAACTTTGTTCATGGCTTCTGCATTTCTTTCTTTCTTTTTTTT